GAGCGGGCAGGCTGTTCAGGATATTTGTGATTTATGTATATATGTTTTGCCACGCAGTTATTTCCACTAAATCTTTCAGTACTTATTTTCAGTTTTTGTTCCGACGTTAGTCGGATAAGACGTTATAACTGTTTTAATTATCAGTTTAAAATTTTAACGGTTTTCAGAAAAATCAAGTTTTTCACGGTAGCATCCCGAATCAGTTTTTGCAAAAATTAAGGTTTTATGTTTTATTCAGAAAATATTGCGAAAAATCGCATACTCTGATAATATAAAAGTCGGGGTGTTACAATTGGTATCAGAGCATGTTTCTGCGTCTCTGAAAAGTTTTCAGTTAGAAATTTTCAGAAAAACCTGAACCGTCACGCTCACGCCTCGGTGACTCCAGGTAAGTGCTGATTCAGTTTTTCAGTTATAAACATATTACTTTGTCTATGCTCAGAAATCAGTAATCAGACTTAGTTAAGATGCTCAAATCAGATTCAGACTTTAGAGTTCCGATATAACTCTAGAATTCAGTATATTCAGGCATAATTTTAGAGATCAGTATACTCAGACATGACTCTAGAATTTAGTATCTTTCGATATGACTCTAGAGTTCCTCAGGTTTCACGTTAGTATTTATCGGCCACTTTTGGCAACTCGTCAAGAGATCTGTATGCCTTAGTAATCTGTCAGAATATTACCACGTGTTCAATAATTTGAACTTTCTCAATGTTCAGATGCCGCCACGTAGGGAACCCGATTATCCGGCTCCTACTCAGGCTACAGTGGTCGCCCAGTTCCGCGACTATCATGCCGAAAAGTTCTCAGGGCAGGGAGATCCTCGCATAGTAGACGAGTGGATTCAGGGCCTGGAGTTTATCTTCGAGGTCATGGATTGCCCTGATAGATATCGCGTAATTTGCGCTCAGCTTCAGCTCACCGGTGATGCCAGGCTCTGGGGGAACGCTTACTGGAGCATGCGTCCCGGCGAGAAGGCGTGATGTACGTGGGAGATGCTCAAGGAGTTAATCCGCGAGAAGTACTACCCCACATACTACCGAGCAGAGATGGAGCATCAGTTTCTATCGCTCCAGCAGGGTACTCGTACTGTTGACGAGTACGAGAGGGAGTTCACTAGACTTGCAGCTTTCGTTCCTGATTTGGTTTGCACGGAGGCCCAGCGACCACAGCGTTTCATTGACGGGCTTTACCCAGCAGTCCGTCATAACATCGTAGGCCACGGGACACAGACGTATGCACGTGCAGTTTCCATTGCTCAGGAGGTGGACGCCAGCATTAGGAGGGAGGCCGTCCGTGATCAATCCCAGCCATCCGCCCCTGCTCAGTCATCTTCAGTTCCACCGATGCCAGCTCTACCATCTGCCCAACCACCGAAGAATAACAAGAGGAAGGGGAAGGGTGCCCCGACAGATAAGAGGACCCGACGGAGGCTACAGCAGATCCCTCAGTGCCCGACATGCGGACGACTTCACCGAGGCGAGTGTCGCTTTGGTCAGGATGTATGCTACTATTGTCACGAGCCCGGACACTTCGCGAACCGTTGTCCGAAGAAGGCGCAACAGCCTCAGCAGCCTCAGCAGCCACCGCAGCAGCAGCAGCCCCGTCAGTAGGCTCAGAGGCCGCCTCAGCAGCAGCAGCAGAGGGGCAGACAACAGGCCCGAGTTTACGCAGTGGATCAGGCAGAGGCCGAACAGCAGCCAGGTACCATGTCAGGGATGGTTGTTCTTAATAATGTTCATGTGTTTGCTTTTTTCGATACTGGAGCGACACATTCTTTCATTTCACGACGATGTCTTGATGCCATTGGAGTTCATGCCGTCACTGCTGTCGATCCTCTCGAGGTGAGTTTGGCCTCGGGACGAAAGATAGTGACTTCAGCTAAAGCTTCAGATCTTAGCCTTTCCATCGGTGGCCGAGTATTGTCTACCGACGCGTTTGTTCTCGAGATGAGGGATTTCGACCTTATTCTCGGAATGGATTTGCTATCCTTTTATCATGTGGATATCAGATGTCACGACCGGGAGATTACTCTCTATCTTCCGGGAGACGAGTCGATCACTTTCTTCGGCTTCAGGAATCGTTCATTGCCTCACGTTGTTTCGATGGCGAAAGCCACTAAGTTGCTACGACGAGGCAACTGCCAGGGTTATCTGGTGAGCCTTGTCGATGATTCTCAGAAAGCACGCTCACCTCACGATGTTACAGTCGTTCGTGAGTTTGTGGATGTTGGGTTCTGTTAGGAACGTCAAACAACATGCACAGTATTGAACTTTATCGAAATAAAGCAGCAGAATCTATAGTTAGGATATGGACGTTTACCTTTTAAAATTTTTGCCGACTCTGAGA